GGAGAGAGAAAAAGGGAAAGGGAGAGAAGAGAAAGGAGAGAAAGGGAGGAGAGAGGGAGGAGAGAAAGAGAAAGAAGGGAGAGGGAGAGAGAGAGAGGAGAGAAAGGGAGACAGGAGAGAGAGAAAGGGAAAGGGAGAGAAGAGAAAGGAGAAAAAGGGAGGAGAGAGGGAGGAGAGAAAGGGAAAGAAGAGGGAGGAAGAAGAGGAAGGGAGAGAGGAGAGAAAAGGAGACAGAGGAGAGAGAGAAAAAGGGAAAGGGAGAGGAGAGAAAGAGAGAGAGAGGAGAGAAAGGGAAAGAAGAGGGAGTGAGAGAGGAGAGAAAAGGAGAGGGAGAAAGGAAGAGAAAGGGAAAGAAGAGAGGGAGGGAGGGAGAGAGAAGAGAAAGGGAAAGGACGGAGGGAGAAGAGGAAGGGAAAGGAAGAGGAGAGAGAGAGAGAGAAAGGGAGGGGGGGAAGACTCTACTGACCCCACCTAGCATCAGTAACCAGAGGAGAGCCAACGTTTCTCTAATCTGGCTGCAGAGGCTGCTGTCCCCCCAAGTGACCCCTGAGAAGGCACGTAGCAGAAAGGCCCAAGGAGAGATTCCCCCAGAAGGGGGTGGGGAGGGAGGGAGGGAGGGAGGGAGGGGAGCAGCCCTGGCTGGCCTGGGAGGGAGACCAAGGGGTACGAGGCCCCGTTGACCCCCGTTTAACATGCAGCTGGGGGCCCAGTTGCAGTGCACAAGCACAGAACGTGCTCCGGCCGGCTGTCCCTTCTCAAGGACCGAGGCCTCCCAGCCCCACCCAAGGCAGCGGCGGCGGCAGCAGCAGCAGCAGTGTGCACATCTGGGGCTCATTAGACACCCTGGCCGTCGGCCAAGGCTCAAAGCAGCCGGAGCGAGCCAACAGCCCAACAAGATGGACTCCAGACATCTGGAGGAGCGGCGAGAGGTAATGCGAGAGGCCTGGGGCGCCCACTCCTTCCCGGCCGAGGTGGGAAGCAGCGCTGCCGTCTATTCCCAGGAGCTCAGGGAAGCACAGCCAGGATTTCACACACACACACACACACACACACACACACACACACACGGCCCCCTTCCTTCCTTCCTTCCTTCCTGGGGTCCTTGCAGGCGGCTTGCAGTCTTGGTCCTGGGATTACAACCCAAACCATCCGTCCAACTCCCACTTTCCCAACTGGGAGCCTCTTCCGCCTCCTGCTAAAAATTCCTCCCTGCCCTCCAATTCCCTGAATGGCCAGGCAGCCGAAGCCATCCCTTCCGGCATCCTCTCAAGGGCCACACTGGGGCACCGCGGTCATCTCGCGGCCTCTTCACCCAGCCGCCTCGAGGCCCAAGGCCTAACAGAAGAAGAGGCAACCTTGGCAGTCTTCTGGTCCACCCTCCCATTCCCAAGCAAGAGATTCTCCACCGTTCCAGGCAAGTGGCTGTCCGGCCTCTTCTTCGAAGCTTCCAGGGATGGACCGCCCATAAATTCTGGAGGCCAGCAGTTCCACTGGTTGATTTTATCTGTTTGGAGGTTTCTCCTTAATTCTAAGTTGCTTCTATCCCTGATTAGTTTTCATCCATTGTTCCTGGTCTTGCCTTCAGGTCTTCAGCCGGTTCTGACCAGTTCTGGAGAGAACCGGGAGCGGAAATTTTGAGTCGTTCAGAGAACCGGCCGATCCCGCCTCTGACTGGCCCCGCCAACCCCATCTCTTCTCAGCCTCCCATTGAGTCCCAGCTGATCGGCTGGGTCTCCTTTGGTTGCCCTGCACAGGAGAACGGAGCTGGAAAGCAGGTTAGTGGGGTGGGGAGGGAAGGGGGATTTTGCAGTCACCTTCCCCTGCCATGCCCACTGGTGGTGGGAGTCAATTTTTTTTTACTACCGGTTCTGTGGGCGTGGCTCGGTGGGCACGGTGTTGTTCGGTGGGCGTGGCTTGGTGGGCGTGGCAGGGGAAGGATACTGCAAAATCCCCCTTCCCTCCCCACCCCACTAACCTGCTTTCCAGCTCCGTTCTCCTGTGCAGGGCAACCAAAGGAAACCCAGCCGATCAGCCGGGACTCGATAGGAGGCAGGGGCCACTCAGAGGTGGCATTGGCCGGTTCTCTGAACTACTCCAAATTTCCGCTACAGGTTCTCAAGAACTGATCAGAACTGGCTGAATACCCAACAACCACACCCACACAACCAGTAGTAAAAAATTTTGGAATCTCACCACGGCTTCATGTGCTTTCAAAAATAGGTTGACTTTGATTTCTTGGTGGCATCCCCTCAAATATTGGAAGACTGTTATCATGTCCCCCATTGTCCTTCTTTTCACTAGACCAGACACACCAGGGGTCGGATTCAAATTTTTTAACAACCGGTTCTGCGGGCGTGGCTTAGTTGGTGGGTGTGGCTTGGTGGTCATGTTGTTGGCTGGACGTGGCCAACTCAACATCACTCACATCGAGGCACATATCTCCTCGCCTGGCCTCTCATGACTGTGGGCATGCTGCAACAGTCGTAAGTGTGGAAAATGGTCATAAGTCACTTTTTTCAGTGCCATTGTAACTTTGAATGGTCCCTCCACACAAGCAAAGTACCAGCAAAGGAGGGGGAAAAAAAACTCCAGAGAAGTTCCTGAGACAGGAAGCCCAGTCCTGCCAAGAATGTAATAAGGGTTAACGGAGAGGCAGTTTCTGTAAGCAACACCAGAATGTTTCCTTCCCACCTTCCTTACAGGATTAGCCCAGTAATTTATTCAAACAACCGGTTCTCCGAACTGCTTAGACTGTTAACAACCGGTTCTAGCGAATAGGTGTGAACCTGTAGAATCCAACCCCTGGACATACCCAGTTCCTGCAAACGTTCTTCATATGTTTTAGCCTTCAGCCCCCCAATCACCCGATCAATCCAAGAGGAGCTAAGGACTCGGGACGCTGCCCCGCCCTCCCCCCATAACTCTGGGCCTCCTGGAGCGCCCTTTCCATTCCATGAAATGCTGACCTGTACTCGGCCCCCCAGCCCTTGACGAAGCTCATCCGGATGGTGCACATGCGCGTCAACTGGTAGACGGCCTCGAAACCCTGGTTGACTGACTGAGCCAGGAGGGCTGCAAATTCTTGATTGTTAAATATCTTCAAGTTACACCCTGTTGGAGGACAGAGAACGACAACAAACAAGAGGGGCAGAGTTAGGAAGCATTCTCTAACACGTGATCTCTTTTGGGTCCTTCAGTAGCTCACCACGCACAAAACACAACAGTCTCCCCAAAAGCCTTCAAGGTTAGTGAAACTCTAGAATTGAAAAAAAAGTGGAAGGGATCTAATTTTCTAAAAAGCGGGCAACCCCCTTCCAATGGGAAATTTCCCCGTTAAATAATCAGTCAAGAGCTTCTTGTTCTCAATGTGAGGTTTTGTGAAACTGCAAAGTACATGTTAGTATTTGCTCTGCTAGTAAATGCCAGAGAGCAGTGATGTCGTAATATATTAATTTGGTTAGTTGCTGGGTTAATGAAATTGTAAAGAGGCCACCTTGGACATCAAACAGGGATATTAATCGTTATGAATGTCAGCTATTCACTAAGTCAGAGGACTCCAAACTTGGCAACTTTAAGACTTGTGGACTTCAACTCCCAGAATTCTCCAGCCAGCATAGCTGGACATAGGTGTCAAAAGAGAGAAATGTCAGAACTTGGTTTCTACCCGTGAACTGTCAGACTCTTGAACGGAAAATAACTTCATGTCAAGGTGGTACGATAGACTTGCGTGACAGGTGTGTTGGGCAACCAGGTCACCTAGTGTAATAAGATTGGGACTGGGTTAGGGACTTCTGTCCTCACCGTGAGTTGTGTTGTGTTGGGGAGGGTGCACGAAGGGAGGCTCAGCCAATCTCACTGCACACATGTTGTACTCTGACAATCAAGGTAATAATTGGTCAGAGAAAGACATAAAACACAAAAGGAAGCAGAGTCAAAATAGGTTACCTGGCGGTATCTTGCACACGGTAGCTGGGTGCCAGCCGTAACGCTGGTTGCAGTTGGGGGACTGGACAAATATGGCACTGTCACTAAGGCACTCCGCAAAAACTTCCCCTCCAATGTAATACAGTCTCACTCCTCTCCCTAGAAAACACAGGTTCAGCATCAGGACAGCCAAGAAGACAAAGAGTTTGACCTCTTTTTGGAAGCCCAGGACTCCTGCTCTGAACCTGTAACATGTCTCCTTCTGTTTGAGTTTGCTCCATGCTGGAGAAATCTACAACTGGTATTGTAAAATTTACTTTTTGTGTTTATAAAGAAGTTAAATGAAGCCTCAGCCGCCTGTGTTTACTTTTCTGGCGCTGAATTTACACTGCAATACTTTGAACAAGTTCTCACAACGTGGCTAAAGGCTGATGGGAAGGATGGTCTGAAATATCTGGAATGTGCCTTCCCTGTGCTGTAGCTACTGCCGCATGCAAGTTATCTTAGGCAATAAACTGCTTTCTAATAAGTCCGCCCTCTTTTCTGTAGTCTCCAGGAAGAGGCACTGATGGAAATTCCATTATTTAAAAGGTCCAAAACTGATGAAGTCACTACAGCTGGAACAAAGTTTATTTGGGTTTTTTTTTTTAATCTCCAAAGCATGGCAGCTAGTTCTATTTAATTCCCTCTGTTCACTGATTCCAAGTAATCGGGAAAAAATGTTATGATTTGTTAACGGAAAGGAGCACCATTAAGAAACACAACTTTTTCAACATTGGAGATTTTGATAGACTGGTTTGTTAAAGTCGTTGCTCTCATCCTGTGGAAGGGAATCCAGCTTTCCATTTTTGTTGGTGAGAGAGAGCCAGCTGTAATAAACAGAGTTAAAAAATGTGCTTGTGTGAAGATCACAGAAAAGTTGATGCCTTCCAAACATTAAGTTTATTTTATATAAAGAAGAAAGATAATAAAGCCAGGCGGCCTTGTGTAATTAAATGTGCAGCATTTAAATTAAATGTGGGGAACTATGGCCTCTTTTTATGACTTTGGACCAACTCCTAAAATTCCCGAGCCAACACGTTAACTATGGCTCCTTTACGACGTATGGACTTCAACTCCCAGAATTCCCGAGCCATCATGGCAACTATGGCTCCTTTACGATGTATGGACTTCAACTCCCAGAATTCCTGAGGGGAACTCGGGAATTGAAGTTCACACGTCATAAAAGGGCTACAGTTCCTCACCCCTGACTTAAGGTAAGCAGAAAAGCGACGTGTGTCCTAACGGCTAAACTCTCCTGGTCGAGTTCAGTGTTTACACAGGGCCTGAGTCCCTTCCACACACCCCTTTCCAGCCCACTTCCCCCAAAGGCAAGGCAATGGAGGCTACCAATGTGCCGCCTGGTCAGCTCCACAGCTGCATTGCGGTTGACATTGGAAAGCAGGCCGAGGCAGAAGCGCTCCGAATTTGATGGGTCCGTGAAACCATCCACAGTCATTGAGGGCTGAGAGGCGTGGAAAGTCTCTCCCACTCGCTGGTTGAGCTCATAATAGGAAATGGAGCACCAGAAGGCCGGTTCACAGTAGGTGACTGGCTGGAGATCTGCAAGCAAAAAAAAATTGGAGAGGATAAAGTTTGCTTCTTCTCACAGGTACAGTTTATAATAAAATGTGTACAGGTAGTCAGAATAATAGAATAGCAGAGTTGGAAGGGTCCTTTGGGGCAGTGGTCGCCAACCGGTGGGCCGGGGACCATTGGTGCTCTGCGAGAAAATGTTTTGGTCCGCAGAGAAATGTCACTCCCCAAAGCAATTAATCCAGGCTGTGTGGGAACACAAGGCTCCACCATCCACATGGCTCCTGGGAACACAAGGCTTGTGTCGCTTGCATTGCAAACAACACGAGGTAGTGAGGGGAGGGGGGAAAAGGCAGAGGGGGGGAACTTGGCCTACTCGCTCCATGCGTCTTGCCTGGCCACCGGGCTGCTTCTCTCAGCTTCTTTCTTCTTCTGCTTTTGGCTGCATGCAACGAAAGCAGCCAAAGTCTTTCTTTCTCTCCCCCAAACTCCATCAGAAATGAGTCTTTGGGACCCTGCAAGGCCTCCTGCTCCTAGAGGCTGCGCCGCAACAAAAGACTCATTTCTGGCGGAGTTTGGGGGAGAGAAAGAAAGACTCCTGCTGCTTCTGCTGCTTTCCTTGCACGAAGCCAAAAGTCTCTCTCTCACTCTCTCTCGACCCCCCCACAAGAATGGAGCTGGAGACGGTATCCTGCGATCCCAAATAAAGAACGATCGATCGGTAGGAAAACGGGGTGGGGAATTTTCTTCCTGACTTTTTGGGGGGATTTTCCCAGGGTCTCTGGTCCACGGGATTTAAAATTATGAGTTTGGTGGTCCCTGAGGTCCAAAAGGTTGGCGACCCCTGCTTTGGAGGTCTGATCTACTGCTCAGGCAGGAGACCTTATATTAGTGATGGCAAATCTTTTAGAGACCTGAGTGCCCAAACTGCAACCCAGAACCCACTTATTAACCGCCTAGTGCCAACACAGCAATTTAACCTGAATACTGAGGTTTTACTTTAGAAAAAACAACCCATATAGTAACATCTTTTTTTCTTAAGAGGAAAAACACAATAACAAAGCTTTCAATGATACAAACAACTTTTGATATTTACAATTTCGGGCTCGCCTCAACCATAATTTTATTTAATTATGTTTTTACATTTCTGAACTGTCCATCTCCCTCAAAGAGGGAATCTTGCTGATGGCAGCTCTGCCCCCTACCAAATACATTTGGGCAACATTAATAGAGGATTTAAACCCCAAAATCAACCCCACACAGCCTTCCCATTCATCTTTCTAGCAAGTGTAGGTCCCACTTCGATCTATTCTTAGACACCAAATATTCCTGGTTGCGATGCTCTGTCTACAACAGGGGTTTCCAACCTTGGCAACTTTAAGACTTGTGGACTTCAATGCCCAGAATTCCTCAGCCAGGAGTTGGGATTTGAAGTCCACAAGTCTTAAAGCTGCCAAGTTTGGAGACCTCTGGTCTACAAGATAGAAGTAACTGTGGACTGTCAAAGAAGTCTAATGACCAGCCACTGACCAGCCTTTTTCTCCATAATTCTCTTTTAAAGCCATCGAAGGTGCCACCATATTTTGGGGTAATTAATTCCTTAGTTTAACTCTGCATTGTGGAAAGAATTTCAATGAATCTGCCTTGAATATACCACTCCTAAAGTTTCATTGGATGACCCAACATGGAAACACTGAAAATGACAACAACTTCCAGATTTGTCAATAAATACAACCAAATGGTGGATGAGGACTTGAACTGCGGTTCAGTAGAGGTTGTGTGGGCAGCATCTCCAAGCCAAGCTGAGTTGAGCGAAATGTTATTTGTGTCTGTGAGCCTCTTGTCAGTGGATGTTGACAAGAATGAGCTAAATGCCACATTTGTTACTTAAATCATATTCATGCAAGATTAAAGAGCTGGCTTGTTGCCACACATCTGTTTTCTCACTCAGGAACCAAAATGGTTTTTTTTAAAGAGAACTGGAAATGATCTCAGAGTGGATTGCTTCCTTAAGATACGTATATTCATCTCGTCCCAGAAAGAAACAGGTGGCAGAACTTCAAGAGAAAATACAACCTGATAAATTTATTAACTGGGAGTGAAAGTGGAATGAGAATGCCAAATGTTGAGTCTTTTTTTTCACAATTTAGTTTAGTTTATTGTCATTGCACCTCGTAGAATGAATTTAAATAGCATCTTCTGTGTACAATTTATGACTATGAAAATAAACACAAACACACATCCTTCTCATTCTATATAATTGAACTGAAATCCCCTGATATTGCATTAATATTGCACTATACATTAGGATTCAATAGTTACTGCCCTGGGATAGGAGCTGTTTTTCAGCGTATTTGTCCTTGTTTTTATTGTCCTGAACCGGCTGCCAGATGGTAATAGTTCAAAAAAAAGGGGGGTGCCCAGGATGAGATGGATCTTTGAGAATGTTTTGAACTTTCTTAAGGCAGCGGGAGCTCTAAAGCTCTTCCAAAGAGGGGAGAAGGCAGCCCATGATCCTCTGGGCAATGACATTAACCCTCTGGAGTGCTTTCCTATCTGCCTATGTGCAATTGGCAAACCTTACACAGTTGTGCAGTAAGTGAAGATGCTCTCTCTGGTGCAGCGGTAGAAAGTCACCAGCAGTTTTTCCCAATTAAAGCCACCGTTCTGTAGCACCCTCTATGACTCTACCTCTCCCAGGGAAAAATCAAAAGTCCCACATCATGCTACACTTACCCAGATTACTGTGTGCAGGAGACATCGGATTCGGAGATAAATTTGGAGAACCTACCGGGGCAGAAGAAAATTCAATAATTAACTCTTGAGACAGAATGTGATTCAGATCACACATTGCACTAACCCAAAGTTTGCATGATTGTGACCTGCTGAATAAACCACAGGAATTGTCTTCACATGCTAAGCCAAAGTGTTTTGGTGCGGTGCTCGCGTGCCAGCACCCAGAAGGCAATATGCGCCCCCCCACGCCTCCTATACATGCATGCGCAATCCCCCCCCACCCCCCTGCACTGCACCTCACAGCTGATTTTCGGCAGGTGTGAGGCCTTTTTCGGCCTCCCAGAGGCTTGAGGAAGGCTTCTGCAGGCCGAAAACTAGCCCCGTTTCATTACTTCTGGTATTTTCGGAAAAACAGGAAGTGACAAAACGGGGCTGGTTTTCGGCCTGAAAAGCCTGCAGAAGCCTTCCTCAAGCCTTTGGGAGGCCGAAAAAGGCCTCAAACCTGCCGAAAATCAGCTGTGAGGCGCGCGCATGTGCAGTGAGGTAAGTTTGCCTGCAGCTCGCGTGCCGGCACAAATGATTCTCGTGCCACCTGTGGCACGCGTGCCGTAGGTTTGCCATCATGGATCTTGACCAAGGGTCTCCAACCTTGGCAACTTTAAGCCGACGGACTTCAATTCCCAGAATTCCCCAGCCAGCTTTGCAGGCTGGGGAATTCTAGGAGTTGATGTCCACTAGGCTTAAAGTTGCCAAGGTTGGAGACCTAATTTAGACCAGGGGTGGGGGAAGGTGATGGGAGGAGGGTGGTGAAAGGAGGCAAGTTCTCAAATTCGAGGAAAGAGAGGAGGAAGGAATCCTCTCAGGGATGGGATGAGTTTTCAAGACTTGGCCAGAGTTGAGTGGCGAGACAAGAGAACCATTCTTTTTAATCCCACAAATAGAAATATTCATTTCTGTTTTTGATTTACCTGCATCTAAACCGTGGTTCATTTGATGGTCACTGGTTTCTCCATCCTCGCTCAGATATCCGGGAGGCGGTGTCTCTAAAGAGGGGGAAGAAAATTAAAAGAGAGATCTACCAAAGCCTCACCATTCCCCAACTGCACCCCCCCCCCCCCCCCGAGCTATTTATCAGTCTTCCAGTCTGTTTTTCTATTCAGTCAAGGTCCCAAGATAGGCCAACCAAAATCCAAATACCACAGCTGAAAGCATGTCTCAAAACTAATAAAAACGTGAACAAATTATTAAAAGCCTGCTGGCAAGGGAGATGCCTCTTGGCTGCTCTTCTAAGAGAAGTCAGGAGAGCTGTGGGGGAGCATCTGCAGCCTGTGACCACGCAGGAGAAGGCCTCCTCCTCCATTCTCTCCTCCATTCCCTCCCTTTCCTCTTCCTCCATTCTCTTCTCCTTCTCCATTCTCTCTTTCTCC